ATTGACTAGGCTGGTGCCCTTTCAACACCAAACTGCTGAACACCCATGGCAGACGATCGTATTAAACTCGCTGCATATTTATGAAGACCCTCTAGCTTAATAAATTGCTGTGGGGCAATGAGACTTTATGTAGATTACTAGAAATGTCAGCAGAGTGTTACACAGGCCCCGTAAAATAAAGTATTACTCATCTGAGTCACCCAACCCAAGTAAAACCTGGTATTTGGTTTATGAGTTTTCCCTCAAAGAAAGCTTTGCGATTATCCCTGAAGTAAAAATAAGGGTCAACTTCCACCCCTTCCCTTTGGGCATTTGACATTGCTTCGTAACATTGTGATCTCTGCACCTACTTATAAATAGATCAGATTTGTCTTTAATTAAAACAGTATTTCTCTAGGTAAAAAAAATGAAATTGATTTCTTTGAATGACAAGAATAAAATCGTCTCAATTTTTTATTATTATTTATTTTTAAATTTCATATGAAAACTATTAATCTTCTCTAACTGTTACTTGAAACATTAATTAGAAAAATAAGCATGATTCGTTTAGAGCCCATTCATGCAGATTTTGGTATTTCTAGAGTTTCCCTGTTTTCCATGATTCATCTACTTTTGTGGTTTGTGTTTTAAGTAAAAGTCCCAATTCTCTAAGGAATGGTAAGCATTAAAGCAAATAATTATATAAAAAATGGTGTCTTTGTAAACCCAAAATAAGCATAATGCAGCCCTTGCATTTAGCCTGTAATCTTCTTCATTCATATCTATTAGTTTTATGTCATTGTTCAGAAATTGCTATAAATCACGGCGTATTACGAACAACTAAATATAGTTGCTTTATTACGCAAGAAAGATGTAGCAGTTTGACTTGAAGGAGGCTTTGATTTCCAGGCACAAAAAAAGCACTAAAATGCCCATGTTCAGAGCGAGCGCGAGTGCCACAGAGGGACGTTGACGTTCCCGGAGCCGGGCAGAGGCCCCGCGGCCGGAGCAGAGGGGGGCATCCCCGGCCTCCTTTTTCCGGACGGCTCTAGCAGGACACAACTGCAACGTGCAGAACCCCGGCGGGGCTCCCGTGCTCCCGGCGCGCAGCAGGGAACTTGCTCTCTGCAGGTCGTCCCGCCGAGCCCAAGGGCTAAGTGGCGCTGAGCGGCGCTTCCCTTGGCGGCGCCGCGGAGATGCGCACGGCAGAGCTGCTTCCTGCCTGCTGAGGAGGGTTCCCCTGTGCTCCCCGCTGCTCTCGGGCTCCCCGGCCTCCTTTTTCCAGACGGCTCTAGCAGGACACAACTGCAACGTGCAGAACCCCGGCGGGGTTCCTGTGCTCCCGGCGCGCAGCGGGGCCCAGCCCGGCACGGCGGCCTTCGCCCCTCGGTGCCGGCGTTCCCGCTTCTCCTTCTGGCTCTGCGCTTCGAGGGAGACCCAACCGCAGACCTAAACAGGGTGGTCTGAGACTTGCAAAACCCCAAGAAGAAGCCGTTGAGAAGAATTAGCCCAAAGCAGACCAGTTTGGTTTCTGTCCACCTTTATCTGATGGAAACGAGAGATCTGAGGTTTCACCCCAACACGATGAGCTATAAAAGAACAAAGTCTGCACGGCCTGGCTGCAAGTGGATTTTCGCCTGAACTGCTTTTCCACCTCAGAAAGTTCGTGCTCTAAAAGGATTCGTTTTTTGATTAGTATAAAATCAAGGGCAACTCCAAGGGAAAAAAAAACATTATGCAAGGAGTGATTCATGTTTACCCCCAGACTGACTTTGCACCATTTAAGATACACATCTAAATTCAGGTGCCCTTGGAGAAGACCATAGTTCTTGTTAAACCAGACCCTATAGTACTCTGCAACAGTGAACGCATTTCATTTTGAAATTCAATCATTGCGTTGTGCAGTATTGTGCCACTCTGAGCCAACCTCAAGCAACATTTCTGAGGCTCTCGCCCGCAAGGTGCCACTTTGCAGAGGGGCACATAAAGCCGTGACAGGGCTCGTGCTCGGATAAGCGATGGCAGCTCCATCACGAAAGCAGCACCAGCCTACGCCCCACTTGATAAATATCCCCTATTAAGAAGCACCACGTTTTACAAGCACACTAGGTAACTGAAAGCGATCACACCATAATCCATTTTAATTCGCATTAAAAGGTTTTTTTTTTTCTTTCAAGAGAGATTTCTCCCACAAATGAAGTTGTAAGTAACGTTATAGCTATGAAAAACCACGACACAGCTCAGCCGAGCTGCCTCGAGTGGGATGGCCGCGCTGGGCTCCCAAATCCACTGGGATAGCGGAGCCCGGGTGGCTTTGGTGGCACTGGGTGCTGCCACCTGCCACCTCCGGCCGTGTGGCCCTGCTCGGCCCAGCTTTCGGCCAGCGGACTGGCCTCTAAGCGGGACACGGAGGAGGTGCAGGCATTTGTTTGCCTTGAGATTTTTGATGAATTTGGGGCAATTTATGAACCCAGCTGTAGCCTCACCTGATTAAAGGTACTTGGAGCAACAAGCAACACATGGTTTGACTAAGATACTGAAGTAGAAAAATCAACATTGTGGAGAAGCGCTGTTTTTCAGACATTATTAGATCAAGATAACGCCTCCTCTGCGAAGGAGCATTCCATATTTTTCTAAATGACTGACCCCTTGCAGTGCTTAACACAGGCGGAACTTGCAAGATGCTTGTTTAACATATTTTAATTAAATCCAAAGTAAAACCAGAGTGTGCTCAAAAGAAATCCTGAGTGCACATGAATGCCCTTGGAATTAAGTGGTGCTAAAAGTACCACTGACAAGGCTATTGCCCCTCAGATACTTGAGCAGGTGAAGGAGCCTCCTGTTATCTCAGCAGCCTGTCCTGCTCGCTCCTCTCCCTCCCAGAACGGGATTGGCGCAGAAATCCATCACAGCAGCATTGAGCTAATGACAAGAAACGTCCTTTGGCAGGCGGCAGCCACAAGCCCCGCGCCCC